AAACAGGGGTGAACTGAACCGTGTTACATCTCAGAAAATTGGGACAAAATCCTTAACATTTGTCTCATCAAATCGTCTGCATGTGTCAGCACAGTAAATTAATAACAGTGTCTTAACATAAGTACAAAGGACTAATGTCCAGCAGCTTAAGCCAAACAATGTGAAGCCAATCATTGAACTATATTCCTATTCCCTTATTATCATCTAGATATTTTAATTTTATATATTATGCGCATTTAATTTTATAGAAATAAAATCAACTATCGCTCGCTAATTCGGGTCATTTTTTTTTTTTCTTCCTGAATTAGTGCATAAGAACATGGGAGCAGCACTTTTTGAATGTGGGCAAGTTTTCATTTTTTGTGGGACTCAAAAACTGACAAGGAGGAAATGTGGATAGCACCATTGCATTCAACAGTTTAGGTGTGGGATCTGATAACTTTATTATTGGAAACAATAAAGCTAAGAACATAAAGTGGTTCATCATTCATTCTACCTTCTTCAATTATATATATGCAGTTGATAAAAAAGATAAAAATGGCTCCATGAACGAAATCCCTATATATATATATATCTATCATAATTTGCACGTTTTTACCAGTATGTTTTAAAAAATGCATGAAATCCCTTATTAATTAATCAGTGAACGCTTTTCCCCTTCCGTTGAGGGCGGCGCGTGTGTAGAGCATACTATTATTGCTTTCAAAAATTAATCAATTTTTTAATTTACAAAATTAATAATTTACTAAGTTTTAATTGTAAAATTAGTACACAGACCGCGGGATAATAGTTATAAACTGCTTGTATTAAACCAACTAAGGAATTTTGATTAGTGGAAAAATAATTTTGAATATTAATATTATTATTTTTTATTTTATAATATATAATAATTTAATATATGATTTATATGTTTATTTAAATCTTTATAAAATAATTGCCATTTTATAGTTCTTGTCATTTTATACTCACATAATCTCTGTCTCTCTCTCTCTCCCTTACTCATACCTTATTACAATATATTATTTCAATTTCTAAGTAACTTATGCTAAAGTCAAAACATTGTGTCAAAAGTTATAAACAATACTTAATGGAAAAGGTTGTAATATATATTATTTCGAAGTTACAAAATTATTAATTTTTAATTACATCATATTATTTTATTTTTTTTCTTATAACTTATATAAGTATTTTAAATTTTCTTTATAATCTATTAATTTATATGAGATTTAGTAAGATATTGTGAGTCACAATATGAATTTTAAAAACATGGTTTGGTTCAATTATTGAAAAAATCAGTGGATATTTTTTTAACTCCGTGAATAGATGATTTTTTGTGTATGGCTCGTTACAAAATGAATAGAAAATCGGAGAAATTTATTATTAATGTTGAGATATCAATTCTATCGCAATATTGTGCTAGTTATATCAATAATTTTTTGCAATTGATTTCTAAATTTATTCGTACTTATAATTTGCAATGTTCTTACGCATATTTTTGTCTGCATGTGCATGGCTGGATGTCCAACAAAACATAAGATCGCATGATTTGTTGTTAAGGATAAAGATTGGTTTGTTATTAAAAATAAATAGTTAATTTTTTTTTGATATTATTAAAAATTGCATTTACAATTTTTGAAAAACTTGAACCGGTTGAGTTATTGATAAATCAAAGGATTCTAAACTAATCCCCTTGATTTAATCTTTTTTATAAGATATGATAAAAAATATTTTGATTTATGGTTAGTTACCAAATGGATAAGAAATCACTATGATTTGTTATTAATGTTGATAAATAAGATTCTATTGCAATGTTGTGATAAATATCATAATAAAATTTTCATAATTGATTTTCAATTTTTATCATGTAATTATACTTGCAATCTTATCGTGCATATTCAAATAATATTTTCTAAAAAACAAAACCTATTTAATAGATGTTTTTTCTGGAAGACGTGTTGTATGGTTGGTTACCAAAAGAATAAGAAATTCTAGTGTTTCGTAATTAATATAAAAATTGGATTTTTATTATGATAATATCACAAAATAATTTTCAAAATGGATACCACTTTATTTATAGAAAGTCGTGGTGTTAACCGAATTGCATGATTTACAATGGGTTCGTATAATTTAATTTCATTATAAATATTAAAATAGCTTTTATAATATTTATTTTAATAGTAAGTAAACTTATTTAATTACAAAGTCAAAGTTACTATTTTAGATTATTCCATCAACCTCTTTTAATATATATAATAACAACAGTTCGCTAGGAATCGAGTTATTCAATTTCTTACTTTATAACAATAGACCATCTCCAACGCTGCGATGGAGTAGCTCTTATCGCTAGAATTTGACAAAAGTCTCGCTCCAATGCAACACTATATATGAACACTAGAGGAGTAGATTGAGAGAATTCTCGTCAGTGACACTGAGAATCGTACGACCCAAACTGTGGAGGACAAGAACTCAGTGGGTTAATGTCGAACACAAAAATGAGGAGAAAGTTAGTGGACCCGTGAAGAAACTTGGGCCTAAATGTATTTATTATGTTAAATAACTTTGAGACTTGTTCACGGATGTAGATAGTTTAAACTCTTATCTAGGAGTTCTTCAATTTGGGTTTGTAGATAGTTTAAACTCGTATCAAGGAGTTATGAAGTGATTTGATAGATAGTTTATACTCGTATTAAGGAGCTCTTGATTTGGTTTAACAGATAGTTTATACTCGTGTTAAGGAGTTCTTCATTTGACATGATTTTTATACTCGTATCAAGGAGTTCTTCATATGACTTGATATGTAGATAGTTTATACTCGTATCAAGGAGTTCTTCATATGACTTGATTTATAGATAGTTTATACTCATATCAAGGAGTGTTGATTTGACTTGACAGATAGTTTATACTCGTATCAAGGAGCCTTCAAATTTGTAGACATTTTATGCTCGTGTCAAGGAGCCTTCAAATTTGTAGACATTTTATGCTCATGTCAAAGAGCCTTCGATATTGACTTGTAGACCTTTTATTCTCGTGTCAAGGAGTCTTGATTTTGCAGATAGTTTAAGCTCATATCAAGGAGCATTGTACATATTTTAAGCTCGTATCAAATTGTAGATAGTTTAAGCTCGTATCAAGGAGAATTTGAATTGGATATTTGGATAGTTTTGGCTCATATCGAGGAGCTTTATAGATAGTTTAAGCTCGTATCAAGGAGCATTTGAAAATTTGAGGATTTGATAGAGCTCTTCATGTAAATTGCCCCCATGAAATTTGAGAAGGATATGGAAGACCGCTTTTGTTTTCTCCATTCGAATGTTTGATGAACACAACGATTTTCGATGGCTTCATGGCTTGAAAAGACATCATTCTTCGTTGCCCCTGTGTATATTTTATTCAAAGAGATCTTCATGCATCTTCAAAGATCTTGAACTTGATTTGAAGAGAAAGGATGAGAGATAGAGAAGGTCCCACCGGGCGTGCCAAATTTGTAACAACAAATTCGTTTATTGAATTTATAAACACGAAAAATATTATTCAACTGAATTTCTCGAAACAAAATTATATGATGAATTACAATCTCTATTATTCCATTGATTTTTCTCACGAACAATTTTAAGTCTTGGAGCGAAATCTTCAGCTTGATCTTCTTCTTGACTTGATTTGACTTGAATCAACGTTAATCCGCTGGTCAACGCCTTGATTTCGGATCAAACGCCTTGATATCCCAAGAACGCGAAGAACATGAGTCCTTGGTCTTTGCCACAAAGTAGATCTTGAATCTGTTAGAGTAGGGTACCCGGCGTTCCAATCTAATTGGACGTATTCTACTTGTAAATACAGTCTATTGGAATTATATTATGAATAAGGCATTTCTTTATCTTAAGAGAAAGCATTTATCTTATAATTGCACTTAAGATAAAATCCCTAGATCACTTATGGTTATAAGGTATGGTTGCGCATAGAGATGGTGATCATGGAACATACCTTGAAAGCCGTGATCTTAAATACAGTTCCAAGTCGATGGATGTTTCGAGATGGGATATCGAATAATCCATAAAAGACTTGCACATAGTTTGTATGCTTGTTGGACAAGAATGTTGCATTCCATCAACATTAGCGTAAGACGTAAGTACATTTATGTGGGTGCTTGTTAGAGAACAAGTTCACTGAACATGACCGTATGAAAATTCTTAATGAAGAATTTATTCAGTCGAATAAGAATTTTCATGTTACAATAGTACATGACTAATCCTAAGACTTGAGGCACAATGGTAACTTTGTGCATATTACATTCTACTTTGATTTATCCTTTTGGTAGCTAGCACTATCGTTTAAAGGGATAAGTTGGGTATTATGTTAATATGTATGGAAGTTTGTTAGTGGCCAATAAAGGATTCGACACTTATGAAGATAAGTGAATTTCCTATGTGTTTCATAGTTATTAATCCAAAGTCCTTGGCCAAGGCAGAGATGAATAGTGATTCATAACCGGGTTAATAAACATGAAATAGAATCATAGTTATTAAGTCAATTTGGGTTTCGACAAAATCATACCCAAGACTTAATCGGGAAATTAGATGTCGAAAGGATTTTACATGTATGGAGTTGTAATCGGAATAGGTTTACTCGCTATTCACTTAATACTAGATTCATGCTACTTGCTAGGTGTTACCATGATATGTGGGTTCATAAATTAAAGGGTTAATTCATGAATAAGAGTTAATAAGATTTAACTCAAATTACAAAGTGTTGTAAACCCACTACTAGTATTAAGGTGAACCTAAAAGGTCACACTAATTATGAACAAAGGTAAAGATTGTATTTCTAATGGTTAGAATTAATTGATAAATATCTAATTTGATTAGATATCAATTAAAGGAATATATTAATCAATAAGATTGATTAATTACATTTTGGATATTACTTTAGTAATTAAGGTAATTACTAAATTAATAAAGTTGAATTTTAAAATAGGATTTTAAATTTCAAAAATCCAAAATAATAATAATATGATTATTATAATATTGGGAAAATGATATAATAATAAAGTCTTGAGAAAGATTCTCAAGATTTATTATCCAATTATTATTTATATCTTTAAATATGATTTAAGGATTAAAATAATAAATATGATTATAATAAAATGGTTGTTGATGGTTGTTTGAACTACTTAACATATCTTATTATTTTCAAAGTCAAAAGTTAGTAAATACTATTTAAATAAAATTTGATTTTATTTAATATTACTAAATGTTGATTATTTTATGCTAAAATGTTTAGTATAAATATATGCAAAATGGTTTTGCATTTAAGTGAAGTTTTTGATCCTAAATTTCTAAGTGTTAGAAAGAGAAGAAAGTGTTCTTCATAAAACTTCAAGAAAGAGTTCTTAAAATTCCCAAATAAAATTCATAAATATTCCTATACAAGAAAACCGAGTCTTTTCTACTAGCGAAGGAAAGTCGTCGGAACCGGGTTTCATAGGGTGGATACGTTTAGAGGGAATACACTTGGATTCCTCTAGCGAGTAACCTCAAGTCGTTGAAGTTACAACCGGGAACCGATTCCCTCATCCATCATCAATAGTGAAGGAGTTCAAGAAATTCGGTAAATATTTTTACTAGTATTTACTTTATAGTAACAAATCAAAATTTGTATATGATGCATGTTTTAAAGATGACGATCAGTTAATTCGCAATTAGTATGTACGGGTGTTGTATTTATACGATAAATACTTACTTTAAAAATTTTAAATTCCGCTGCGTACAGCCCGTACTGTACTATCGAACCCAACAGAATCTTCTCCACGCCGGTTTTGAGTTTACTAACGTTATTTGGAGGCTTTGCAGTTTGTTTCCAGATTGAACGCCAGTCTTGAAGTTGAACGCCGATCTTCAACTTGAATTACCTTGGATCTTCAAGAACACATTTGGATCTTTAAGAGAATTATTGAGAGCTCTTGAACTTGAGATTTTGATGTATGGGGTGTGTTTGATTTTTGAGGTGTGTTTTTTGACCTTGAAGAGAGCCCTATTTATAGGTGTAGGAGAGAGAGTATTGGAGAAGAAGACATCAATTTGATTGGTCCTTCATGGTTTGATATAATCTCTTTCATTATCCTAAGATTTGGCATGGTGGGCAAGAAATATTTACTTTATTAATTAAATATCTTATTTATCTTGGATTTATGTCCCAAAATAAATAGACATTAATTAACAAAATATTAAAATTTCGATGTCTACAAACTTTGTGTTTTTTTTATTTATTGGTATATTATAATTTAATTTTGCAATTTTTTTAATAAAACAGTACATATGAATAAAAATTGACCGCAATAATACAAGTAGATTTCATTAAAATCAAAGGTTTACAACACACATAAATCACAAAATACACAAATAAAAGGAACATAATTAAAATTCGAATGGCCTAAAAATCTATGTAACACATAAATAATAAAATATCTTATTCTAGTAGTTTCACAAACCATTGTGAAGCAGTCTCGTGTTGTTATGCATAAATATATTTTTATTATTTGGGTAACAAAAATATTTATAAGATTAAATAAACATATATATTACAATTTATTTGAAATAAAAATAAATAAAATATAAGATATATAATATAGAGTAAAATGTAGCGCAAAAGACTGGAGATAAAACATGAATTTGTGGCTTACTCTACTCTATAGTAGAATAAACTTTAATATAGAGTAGAGCAGAAGACTGGAGATGCTTTTAGTAATTCACCCTTATACCATTAGGTCTCGTTTACTTAAAATTATGGCATTGGAGATGCTTTTGTTTTTTCACGGGGTCATTGCGTTACGATAATGTCATTCTCAAAATCATTAATGTGCACTTAGTGTATCAATATGGTGCAAGTGCAATACATGTAATTTTTAATATGCATATTCGTAAATTACATATTAAATTTTATAATTATTGTGCATTTTACTTATCATTAATATGAATTCATTAGATTTTTTTTATAAATCATATATTTGCCCATGAACTAAATTGATAAACAATCAAATTTTATGAAATTGTAAATAGGTCCTTGGAAATTATCTGATTCTCAAAAAATCAATTGAACCCTAAATCCCTAATTTTGTAGCTTGTTATCTATTTTGCAGGAGACCGTCTCTACTGCCGGCCGCTCGTGTCGTGCCTGCTGGCGAGCTCTAGAATCCGGTCGATTGCGATCGCTACGCCGCCATGAAGGGCTCTCCGACGACGGTGGTGTGGCCACTGTCGGCCGTCGAATGCGAGGCACCATGCGGCAGTTCATGTCAGGCTCGTCGGCGAGCTCTGGTCTCCGGTCGACCGCGACCGCGACGCCGGTGTGGACCATGTCGACCACCATGTGCAACAATGACGGCTGGGCTAGAGCGGCGGACATGGATGACAGATGGAGTTGCCGGCCTCCACGACGGGAATCTGACAGACCGGCGGTGCTGAAGCGACAGATGCCGGAGAATTCGGAAGCTGGCGGGGGAGATCTTCCGACGGCAGCATTGGTGGCGGAGCCGACGATGGTCGGGTGGGGATGCTATTGCGTGCGTATGTGTGTGTGTGCAGGGTGTTGTGTTGTGTGAAAGAGAGTGGGAAGGTTGGGAATCGGTTAGGGTGAGTTGGTATCGGTAGGGCTCATGGGTTGGTTGGGTAGGAAAATTACCACATGTCCTTAATATGTTTAAAATTTGAGATTTTATTTAGTCGCTGGATCATCATATGTTTAAACTTTATGTCTCATTTGGACTACACAATAAATTCTCTTATTATATATATACAGTGCCTTCCATTTTCCTCTATAAAGCTTCCATTTGGTTGGTTGAACAACATAATTACTTAGTATGTCATCTGCCAATTGTGATATACTGAAGTTTGGGTTTTTTCTGAAAGTGCCAATATATTCCTTAGCAATCCAATCCCCAGTCACCTGCCTAGTGTGTACATCCCTATGGCATCTGTGTTCAGCATTCAGAGACTTTATTGCAAACCTACCTTCAGAAGTGATTGGAGAAGCATAAAGGCTCCAAGGACAACCCTCACTACACTTAGCTTGGATCTGCCTTTTGTTGGTCTTAACATTTTGTATATTATAGCCATTAATAATGGCTACCTTCTGAATGGCCCTTCTGACCTCTTCAGCAGATGTAAACCTCATCCCAAGCACAAAATTAAAATTCTTGTGATCACACTTAGGATCATAAAAGACCCTTTTTTTTAACCTCTTTGGCCTGCCATCATCCACATCAAACTCATCACTACTAGATGAATTGGAGATCACTTCATAGTCAAGATCTGAGCCCTCAGACTGTGTTATTTCTTGATGAACTATGGAGAGCGACAAATCTTCATTCTCTGCCTTATGTGGAACAAACTTCTTATATAAGCTAAAATTCCTTCTAGCCACAATTCTCTCTTCATCATCTGAAGCAAGCTCATCATCACATAACTCATCATCAGATGAACTCTCAAGTACAGGAACATAATCTTCATCATCACTACTTCCATATGAACCTTCCCCCATTCTGATAACCATATTATTTTAACCAACCTGCAGGATAATGGTCCATTTCGCATATGAAATACATAAGCAAATTACATCAGTCAACTTCATAAAGTAGATAATCGACTATATACAGCTTTCATACTATTAATAACCGATTTTTTTACTCTTTTTGTGTTTTTTTTCAAATGTATATGTGAACACAACAGGATGGATAGTTTCCGAATCAATGCAGTCGTTCCCATCTTTCCGAATCAATGAAGATGTAGTTAAAATACAAATGTAGGATACGAAGAGGATAAAGTCCGATATGCATATAGCACCAGTCAACTTCATACAATAGATAACCGGTTACAAAAAGTTTTCATACTATTAATAACCGATTATTTCCTCTCTATGTGTTTTTTCCAAATGTAAGGGTTCTCACGAGTGATTACCTTTGAAGTGTCTCAGGACTGTAAGCAATTCAATTTATTACAATCATTTTCCAAAAAGTGAATATATTTAGTAAACCACATATGCTCTAGAGTGTAAATTTGCACTAAATGAAGTTGACTGGTGCAATTTGCATTGTATTTAATATGCGAATAGCACCAGTGAACTTCATACAGTAGATGACCGGTTACACACGGTTTTCATACTGTTAATAATCGAATATTTATTCTCTATGTGTTTTTTTCAAATGTAAGGGTTCTCAAAAGTGATTACCTATGAAGAGTCTTGGGACTGTAAGCACTCCGGACAGTGATCGCAGCACTCGTCGCCGTAAAGGGACTAGTTCTAGAGTGTAAGCACTCTAGAAAGCACTCTATGTGTAAGCACTCTACTGTAAGCACTCCGGACAGTAGATAAGCGGTTATAAAGAGTTTTCATACAATTAATAACTGATTATTTACACTCTATGTGTCTTTTCCAAATGTAAGGGTTCTCGCGAGTGATTATCTTGAAGTGTCTCAGGACTGTAAGCAATTCACTCTATTACAATCATTTTCCAAAAAGTATATATATTGCAATTCAATTTCTAAATCGTTTAACCAGGATTGTAAGCAATTCAATTTACTACAATCATTTTCCAAAATGTGAATGTATGCCCTAAACGGGTAAATTGCACGAAACCCCCCTGTATTATACTAAATCTGCGCATTGTTCCCCTCTATTTTAAAAAATGCGTCAAACCCCCTTGTAATGTAGTTTTGCATGCGCGAAATCCCATAAACCGTCTAAGATGACGGGAGTGACGTGCACGCACGTGCTGTGCGACTTTTTCTTCAATTTTTCACTCCAACAGCTGCGGAATTACTTTTTTACCCTTAAATCAACATCTTAAATTCACTTCTTCTTCCCCAAATTCACAACCTAAAATTTGCAGCCCTAATTCTCCATTGACGACTAATTCACCAGGTACATGTTCTTCTTCTTCTTCTTTTTTCTCCTCCTTCCTCAAGCGTGAGCAGCAACACATTTTTTTTTCATCTTTTTTTTCTTTCGGTCGAAATGCACAGCAAGCAGCAGAATATGTAAGAAAAAAAATACAACACAACAGGTTTTTCCAAAATTGCACAACACAACATGTTTTTAAATATTTTTTGATAGTCATTTTATTTTTATTTTTTTGATTTTTTTTTATTATTTTTTGCAGATTGAAGATGTCTACTTCCCAAAATTCAAAGATGTCAAAGAATGAGAGTTTGGATCTAAGGTATAAGCACCCTAAGTGTTATTGCAAAACATTTGCTCACATTAGGGTCGTTGGTCCTACAAAAGAAACGGTTGGCAAACTATTTTGCAATTGTCCGTACAACAAATGTCGTTTTTTTGCTTGGCTTAAACCTGCCTCAGTGAATTGGGTAAAGTCAAATGAAATCCATAAAGATGAAGTTTGTTGTGAAGATGATGATGAAGTTCAGTCAACCGGAGCAAATCGAACAAATGAAAATGTAGAAGTCGCAACAATGCTGAAGGAGATGCAGTGCCAGAAGCACATTTATGGATTTTGTCATTCTATAAATATACAACTACATTTCATATATCAATTCACTTCCCAAATTCTTAAGATATATTTTCCTCAAATAAAAAAAAAATGTTTGTTCTATTATTTATAATTACCATTATATTGGTACTTATGTAATCTGAAGTTACGAAATGTTTTATATATGACACGTAACCTGAAGTTACAAGATGATTATATACATGGGCATACTACCTCTCCATGTGTGCTACTAGATATTATGGATCCACTAAAACTATTGGTCCACTGGGACAGGTGATTTACTATGTAGATGGTTTGGTCTTGATCTCGGAAGAATTATTGATGTACTGCTATAGAATTGTAATCATATACTCAAATTTATGTAAGATTTACATGTCAACTGTTTGTGAATTTCAACAGTAGTTATAGGTTTGATATAAAATGTATTTATGTTTTTCTTCTTTCTTTATGTACATAAAAGAAATTTTGGCTATTGTATTATATTTGTCGCCTCATTTTGATTAAGATTAAAACCCAATTCAAATTATTGTCTGCATTACGAATGATGCAAAAAAAATCGGTTATCTGATTCATATGAATTTGCCTTACGGTTATTGCTGCTGCTAGTTGCTCTGTGCCCTTACTCCTATGAATTTGGAATTGGTTTGTGTGATGAATTTGGAATTGGTTTGTGTGATGAATTTGGAATCCATTGATGAATTTGGAATTGGTTTGTGTGATGAATTTGGAATCCAGTGATGAATTTGGAATTGGTTTGTGCGATGAATTTGGAATTGGTTTGTATGATGAATTTGGAATTGGTTTGTGTGATGAATGGGTTGTTGTCTTCTCTTAGGATGACTGGTGGTCATGGAAAGATTGGCAAGCTATACAGCATTGACAAATATTTGCACAGCAATGATCCTGATTTTTTTCAGGAACTAATGCAAATAGGAGGAATCTTTCATACGCTAGGATTGCCCGATGTTCATATTTTGGGGCCTTTTGTAAGTGTACTTTTTGAGTTTTTCACTGCCGAAACTTCCATGTTTACCATTAACGGGCACGTGATGGGTATAACACTCGAAGATGTGCTATACCTTTTACGTTTGCCCATTAATGGTGAGCTTGTCCTTGTGGGAGAGAATTCCCATTTAAGTTACATAAAAATTTTTGAGGAGGACCCAAAAAAGGTCAAGATATCCAACTTGAACCGTATTATCTACAATTCTAACGAGAATAAGGAAAGGAGGATGATAGCTCTGTTGCTCATCATTATTTGGCATTTTGTCTTGCCAACTAAAAATGGTGATGGCATCTACCCTAGCCTTGCCTCACTCTTAGAAAACCCCTACAACACTTCTTCAATTCATGCTTGGGGGGCTGCTGTTCTTGCTTTCCTTCATGGTAGAAAAAAGAAAAATAAGGAGGGTGGCAACTTATGGCTAGTCTTGGTAAGTAGTAGTATAATTTTGCACAACTTCTAAACTATTATTTTGTGTGTGCAGGCTTTTTTTCTCGTCCGGATTCTAAAATTATGGATGATCCTAGGAGTTGAGATTACAAGGGAGGAGCTCGAGGAGCTTGCTCGAGTGGATTATCCATTGAAATGGATAATGACTCGTTTGGAGAAAGTATCAAAGAATACAAGGGTCAATTACAAGGTGGCTCTGAGGAATGCTCTTGAAAGCCTTGAGGATGAGGTATTGAAGTTAATTTACAGTCTTTTCTATCAATAAATTGAAGTTATTATATTACAGTATATGTTTAGAATTAATTTAATTTATGTCTTTTTTGACAGGATATTCATTGGAGGCCGTACATGACGTGGGAATTACCCGGTGACCTTCATCGATTGGGTTAGACGGGTCAGTCCCATTTTTGCCAACAACTATGTGGTGCATCATGCACCAAATTTGCTTGCAAAACAATTTGGTTTGACAAACAACGTCAAATTTACACTGTATCACATCGGAATGAAGGATAATCGGGGATCAAAATCCCACAATTGGACTAAAAAATATGAAGTTCATATCGCGAAGTGGATGAACCCATTATTTTTGGGAGATCCACCAGCAGTCCACAGAGGTAAAAGCACGATTATAGTCTTTTGAGCCCTCATTTATTTATTTTTTTATAAAATAGTCCATATTATTATTTTAATTGAACTCAGAGACCACCCCCAGAGAAGATCCCCTCCCTCATATCCAAGATGATACTGCAGGTTGTGAGTGGCAATTTTTTAAATAGTCTAATTATTATTATTATTATTTGACTTATTTTTGTCATTTTGATTCAGAGATCTCCCCCAGCAGTGAAGATCCCCCCTCCTCCAGCAGAGAAGATCCCTCCAACAGAATATCAAAAGTTGCAGGTAATCAGAAGCTGCAGATTTTGAGGGCCTTTGAGCNTTCTAACCCAAGTATTCTTTTAGCCAAAAGATCCTCATGCTGCCCATCAAGAAACTGGTCCTGACCCTCCAGAATCATTTGAGCCAATAACAGGTATTTCTTTTTTTAAAAAAAAAAAAAACTCGACTGTAAATCTACTTGTATTATTTTATAGAAAATTCTGACTCAAGTATTCTTTTGGCTAAAAGATCTTCATCTTCCCGTTGAAGACACCGATGAAACAGGCTCCCCATTGCTGCCACAAAATGGTTCTGTTTTTATATTAAAGACTGTAAACAAACGACTATCTCCTTGTATTAATTCTGACTCAAGTATTCTTTTTGCTAGAAGATCCCCGTACCCCCATGGACACCCAAGAAATAGAAGAAACAAATTCCGTTGCTTCCCCCAGAGTTGCTTTCTCCCAAGTTTATGTACGGAGGAATAAAAGAAAGCAATTGACGGAAGAGCAAGGTGCTCAAAACGTCCCCATTGCTCCCGTCCAAAGAAAAGGCATTCGCATGCGGAAGCAAACGAAGATTATTTCACTGTCAGATTTTGCAGACCAAGGTGCTCCCATTGCCCCCGTTCAAAGAAAAAGCAGTCGCGTGCTGAAGAAAACAAAGAGATTTTCACTGTCTGATTTTGCATGATAGATGAATTTTGAAACTCAGATTCTATTCTCAATCACTGTAAGCAAACAAACGAAGGGTTGTTTCATTTATCTTATGTCAAACAGGGGGTTAATCCAAATGAATAGTCCAAATGAGTACATGAATGCTATATTTTGAATGAATGTATCAAACCTATGAATATTTGAAATCTAATCAACACAGGCTACCCACCCTAATATTTTAATTAGCATACCTCACTTTTAATGGCAACACTGTCATATACCATATTATTTTAACCAAGCAGCAGGATAATGGTCCATTTCGCATGAAAATACATATACATCTATGTACCGATTGAGTCAAAACTGTTACTTTTGAAAATATATGATTTAGTGCATATTTACACTCAAGACCATATGTGGTTTCGTGATTGTAATAAATTGAATTGCTTACAGTCCTGAGACACTTCAAAGGTAATCACTCGTGAGAACCCTTACANAAAAACACATAAAAAGTAAATAATCGGTTATTAACAGTATGAAAACTGTAAATTTGCACTAAAAAGTAAATTAATTTTCCCATGCAAAAATTATAAAAAGTAATCCTTACATTTTTGAATTCTTCATTCAAAAATGTTCCATGCAAAGCCAAACCCATATTCATCCAAATGTGTTCACATATACATTTGAAAAAAAAACACATAAAAAGTAAATAATCGGTTATTAACAGTATGAAAAGTGTATATAACCGATTATTTACTATAACAAAATATCCGCCATTCATAGAAACAAAATGAGTGCATGATTAAATCCGCCATTCATAGAAACAAAAATGAGTGCATGATTAAATCCGCAATTCATGGAAACAAAATGAGTGCATGATTAAATCCGCCATTCATAGAAACAAAAAAAGTACGTGAACACTTCCCACATAAAAGCAAACAAGTTCCTCCATCTAACAAGTTCCTCCATCTTGACATAAAAAACATAAAAATCCAGACCACCTTAATCAAGTTCCTCAGCATCAGCATCAACTTCCACCAGAGCCGGCAAGAAAGCTCTTCCACCGCATCATCACTAAAAACACAAAATTAATAATTTAAAATAAGAAACAAGCTGTTTGAAATAAATAAAATAAAGCTAATAATTACTGATGAAAATTGAGTTAAATTATAGCAAATCATACACGAAAATTTAACATACTAACAATCCAACATACCTATGGATGTGGATCAAAGGTAAGATTGATCCTTTACCATAGTGATGAGATCATCGTGCGGCAAGTCCACAAATGCAAGAGCTCCAAGGTGGTGCGTCTCTAGCCATGTGCAAGCCCTCATGCCCTCTGGAAATGTAACCTCACCTCTTAATATGAGGTCTTTTATTCTTGTCGCAGCTATTCTTGCCGCATCCAATTCATTGACCGCAAAGGGCTGAGAGTTGGACACCGATGAATGAGAATTGGATGCAGCCCTCTGACCTGAGGGGTATAGGCGGGGAAATTGCACAACATTCCCACAGGCCTGGCAGGCACCAAATGCATCATTGATCTTGTCGTTTAAAATAAGTCCCTGCAAAATTTCACGAAAAGAAGACTTAGGATAGGATAGTCAATTCTAACCTCAAGCCTAAAATCCTATTTTATTCCTGTTTAACCCTAAACCATGTTTTATACACTCTAAATTTTGTAATTTTGATTGTTTGCTGATAAGCATAATCTTAAAATTCAAACACAAACAATGAATCTCATATTCCAACCAATAAAATAAAATAAAAATTTTGAACTCAATAATCTTGAATTAATTATCCAACAATGTGCAAGCATTACAGCAAGAACTTACCCTGCATCTAAACCGTGTCCTCAGGGATTTGGCTCTGCCATAGACCTGATAATCCTCGATCGTAATGTCCGGCTCTTGATTTAATATTCTTGCCATCTCCCTCCATATGTCTCTGTCATCGAATCGAATTGGGATTCCAGTGAGGTGACCTTCTGGAGACCACCTAATTTGGATTAATAGGTCTAATATCCTGTCATCGATAGGATCATCCTTCACGATGAAAAAATTTGTTAAAATTATTCCCGAAAATTATAATCCTATTCCTTGTTGGAAATGCTTAATGCTTTGAGCACTTGCAAGTTTTATGTCCTAATGAGCTAGGTTTTTTTTCTAACTTATGGCATTAGGCTGCCTAGCTTTCCTAATGATAGATAGTACTGTCTTCAAGCAAAGAGTTAAGGCAAGTAGTGTAGTTTTTGCACTTTTGCCGAGCTATTCTCATCTCAGTTATTTTATTTTATCATACTTTACTATACAATCTATCTATCTATACATATAATATTTGAAGGCTACAATCTATCTATATATTGGAAGGCTACAATAATGGCTGATCTTAATATATAATCCATCCAATACATTCTAATATTTGACTAACCTAATTACCAAAATTAGTACCTAAATCCAGTCAATTAATTAATCGGTCAATAACCAATTAAGTATAAATATAATAATTTATGTTTAATTCTATATTTAGACAATATTACTTCATGAATTTTTTTTCATTCATTTCCTATTCCCTATATAAAGATCAATTCTTCCAAGTCTAAAACACACAATGCAATTTACATAGTACATTATAACAATAAAACTTCACAATGTATAACAATGCGGTTGAAACTTCACAATGTATAACAATAAAAGAAACTTAAAGAACAACAAATTTTCGAAACTCACCGCCATTATGTTTTCACCAGAATCCTCTTCTTCCTCTTCTTCTCTCTGTCACTTACTACCAATTATTTTGGTTTCCTCTTCTTCTCTCCGTCGCTTACTCCCAATTATTTTGGCTTTGGTTTCCTTTTCCTCTGGCATGGCGTGTGGAGATTATCAATCAAATCGGCTCAATCAAATCGTCAATGCGTGTAGAGATTATCAATTGATTTCTGCCCAAAGCAGAGAGTATTCAATGGTGTAGTTGAATTTTGTGGGTGGTATTTTCCAATAAGTTCACGCAGTGTTTGACTAATAGATAAGATGAAAAAAAATATAAAAATACCGCCCATAACCTGTAATCTGTACCAGCTAAAAAGGAATGGTGAAGTGATGGAGCACGCCAGCTATGATACTTTATTTTATTTAAAAGTCACCAATATCTATGATGCATTGAACCTTTTATTTATTTTGCAAAAAAATTTTTTTACTAGTCTACTGTTATAGTTAATTATACTATTTGTCAATCACACATAAATAATATTATTATTATGATATTATTATGGTTATTAGTATTATATTATTATGGTCTCCAAGAGAATTGAACATAAAAAATGTTATTGTATTTGAAAAAATATAACAAATTATGAAGAAGAGGATATAATAGGTCACCGGAATGTTGTGCTGGCAGTATGTTTGAGCATGACAATCGGATAATTTCAAACCGTTTCGAAAACTGAACCGAAATCAATTGGTTTACTACAAACCCTATAATAAAGTAATAACTAATAACTTTCAAATAAATTTCATGTTTAATAATACTTGGTTTACATTTTAATTGTTCTTATAATAATATAATTATTTAAAATGAAATGAATTGTTTGTATTTTGGTAACAATGATTGGTTTTATTGAACCATATATTAACTAATATTCAAATAAAAAGCTGCATAAGAGACGTTCATATCCATAGTTTGCAAATCGAGCAGTTCTCATATTCCGGATTTGTATTTAACTTTTTTTGGCACGGAAGTATTTTCCAACACGAGTGGTTCTATAAGAATGTTTTGTTTTTCACGCGTAATAAATAACACCCAGAAAGAAAAAAAAACGAACACTAGGTAACAACAAAAATTTTATTCAAATGGAGGCCAACAAAAACACACACGATTCAGTCGCGCATGGCGATGAACACAAGCATTTGGAGTTAAAACATTACAACAGTCGGACATGCCGAATATTACTGAAATGACAATTTAGAAACACATCCACAATTTGAGTCGAATACAGTCGGATTTGTCAAATACAGTCATTTTTTTTAACGCTGCCTTTCGGGCCTCTTCGGCCCAATACTCGGCTGCCAACTGCTCAATGGTCGGAAATCGAGGTGCATTTTCCAAAAGTCTTCGCGCGGGTAGGGTTCTAGGCTTACGTCGACGAATGTTCTTCTAAGCATATCCCAGATAGGTTCTGGGTTGTCAAAATAATGTTCAGCTAGAGCCCAGTTCTGTATGGGAAAGTTTTTAGAAATTGCAATGTTACTAATCTAAATGGTTAGTTCAATTTGTAGGATATATTGAAAGAACACATAGAGTTATTAAAGAATAATCGTTTTTTATATTAAAAGATAATCACTCGTGAGAACCTTTACATTTGGAAAAAACACATAGAGTGTAAATAATTGGTTATTAATAGTATAAAAACTCTTTATAACCGGTTATCTACTCTATGAAGGTGACTTGTGCTACTCGCATATGAAATACATTAGCAAATTGCATCAGTCAACTTCAATTAGTGCATATTAACACTCTAGAACATATATTGTTTAGTGCATATATTCGCTTTTTGGAAAATGATTGTAATAAATTGGATTGCTTACCGTCCTTGTTAAACGATTTAGAAAATTGCAAGTACCTGAGACACTTCAAAGGTAATCACTTGTGAGAAGCCTTCGTGCACCTCGGACTTTATCCTCTTCGTATCCTACATTTGTATTTTAACTACATCTTCATTTCAAAAATGAAGAAGATACATATACATCTACATTTGTATTTTGCAAAGAGAGTTTAAGAATTTGCAAAATTAGTTTCACATTACTGTAGTGACAAATTTTGCAAATTCTTAAACTCTCTTTGCTTTGAAGCATTTACTTAACATAATTCTATTCAAGGTCTTCAAAAGCTGAAGTTTTCACGACAAATGACAAGGGTTGTCTTTGAATTTGTCTTTAAACTTAGCTAGTAGTTTGCCAATTTTCTTTGGCTTTCTTGTTATGGGACTTTAATGGTTGATTTTGCTGGAAAATCTTAAGTTACACAGTGGTATCTAATATAAATTTGTCTTGCAAATGAAGGTCTTCACATGTGAATCGGAGCTTGTTTTAAGTCGGTACGTACCATTTTCAACCACTAAAGTGAAGGCTTACGAGCACATGGAAATTCCTCACATGACAGTAAAGCGTCTGGAAGATTATTTACAGAAAATGGTAGCAAGGGTATGCCTGCCCCAAGCCATTGCATTCAAATTTTTATGACTCAGTATACCATATTATGCATACAAACTTTGTTTTTGAGAAACCTGATTGAGCATTGTTGCTGTTTTTATGTCCTGAATTTTGAATTTATTGTTAGACATGTTATCATACATTTGATGTATTTGAATATTGAGCTTATCGTAGTCCCTCTTCCTCATTTATTAAAATAAAAAACGGATATGCAATGCTTCATGTCATGGTTTTCATCAAGTTATCTTTTTACCCATTGTTGATGTTATTTTTCATCAGCAACAGGATTCTCTCGACGAGGCGAATACCTCAGAATCAGAGGCCAATTCTGCAAAGAAAAGATTAAGCAAACTTTTCATCAAGTACATAGATGTATATCTTCTTCATTTTTGCTTCATTCCTGGAATATTTATTTCTGGGAATGATTTTTCTTCATCAGATACTCCAAAATACGTGTCTGCATTTGGATTATAGAACTCATCATTTATATATTCTTCAGGAGTCATGAACTCATGAGTGTCTTGATAATTATTTGGTCCTGCAGGAATATCCTTAAGATCTTCTTCAATTTTAACATTTACACGATTTTTTGGTTCCAGATTTTCATTTTCTGAACTAGAGTCACTGTAATTTCCTATGAATTCTTTTAAAGATAATATATTCTGATATTTGTCTAAGAGAGACTGAATATCAGTTTCATTTTAAGTAGAATCAGTGTCACTATTCATTTTTCTCCAGATAACCTTTTTCTGCCGTTTTTAAACAGATTGCTAAGATCCCATTCTTTTGGTGGTCTATATGTTGGTATAGACTTATTTTCTTTAATATTTCTTAAAACTCTTTCTAGTTCTAATAATTTAATGTCTTGGTTATTAGAATCAGACTACTGTATATTTTGCTCTATTCTTAGAACAACTTCTTTTATTTCACTAACTATTGTTAGTACTTGTTGTACATTTCCTACTTCAGGACTTTTAGACATTTAATCCTAATTCTTATCCAATTTGATTTACAAGTAAAATTACTTTGCTTAAATTTTCCATTAATGGTTCAATTTTTGAAATTTTCTCGTCTAATTTTATTAAAGTTTCTTCTAACCTATTTACGTTTATCCTGTTAATGTTTTCAGTAATTTTTTCAGCTTTTGCTGCAATATCAAGAATTTCTGATAGCAAAGTATCAAGAAATTCGATATTTCTACTTGTTTTTTCAATCTTTCAAGAATTAATTCTTGATTATTTCGAATTTTTTCAATATTTTCCCAAAGAGGAATATTATTTATTCTACTCATTTCTCCAATAATTGAAATTTAAGCATTTTTAGCTTATTTTTTAATGGTTTTTTAAAGTTTTTTCTTTAAAAATAGAATTAGGGGTATAACTATCTTTTTGCCCTATTTATATGGATTTTTGAATTAATTTTTATGAAAGTTTTGGTCAAGGGTTATTTGCACAATTTTTTCTTTGGGGAAGGTCATCTGAACTAATTCCCATAACAATCTGATCTCCTTCATAGTTAACCTAACTGGGTTTCAATTTATGGCCCAAATAAAATATTCAATTCCAAATGTAAGGGTTCTCACGAGTGATTACCTTTGACGTGTCTCAGGATTGTAAGCAATTCAATTTGTTACAATCATTTTCCAATAAGTGAATATATTGCAATTTAATTTCTAAATCGTTTAACCAGGATTGTAAGCAATTCAATTTATTACAATCATTTTTAAAATGTGAATATATGCTCTACACCATATATGGTCTAGAGTGTACATTTGCACTAAATCATATATTTTCAAAAGTAACAGTTTTGATTCATTAATTAAAATGTGAATATATGCTCTACACCATATATGATTTAACTACATTTGTATTTTAACTGCATCTTCATTTCAAAAGTGAAGAAAATACATATACATCTATATACCGATTGAATCAAAACTGTTACCTTTGAAAATATATGATTTAGTGCAAATTTACACTCTAGACCATGTATGGTGTAGAGCATATATTCACATTTTAAAAATGATTGTAATAAAATAAAAATGTATATATATATATATATATATATCTCTATCTCTACTATATATATATGAAGAAGTTATAGGGTGTTAAATGACGACAAGTGGCGACTTCTTGGCTTGACATTTGGCATTTTGGTCGGCAATTACTTAAACGTCCTTTTTTGGACAAACACAAAACCAATCTCTCTTACTAATTGAAAAGGGTAATAAGGTAAACTGGATATCCTTTATATTTTTATGTATTTTGACTTAAACGGCCTCATGTATTCAGCTTTTTGGGGGGTGTATACGTAATTTTTCGTGTGTTCATTTTTCCTGGCCGTCCTGCAGCGCGATTTCCTCCCAGAAAATATGGTGTCGCGGGATTTCCTCTCACACGCAACTATCACCTCAAAGACCCAATCGAATGCAATCGTGGAAAAGTAAAACCTCTCCCACACGCACATTTCAGTCACAACGTAGAAATCCAATTTCACTCCTTTTCTTACACAGAGCACCCAAGATTACACAGGCTCCCGACATTGATCGCGTAGCGGATAAAACTTGAGGGGCGACGCAATGATCGAGAACGGTGTATGGGCAGGAACGATCAGATCTAGCCCCATCGGGCAGCGGGGATCCCCGATCTGTGGGATGCAATGTCAGAATCGACGCTCCGCATTCTATGTGTGCCACCGTCATCGGCATTACATTCAACGGCGGGGGTTCCTCGGCGCGGACTCACGCACCAACACCGGTGAGAGTTATCTTTTTTATTTTCATTTATTTTCTTCATTCTATGTTGGGTTCTTTGTGATTACGATGGTCTAACTGAGGTATGTAATAGTTGAGCTATAATACTGAAATTAGACGACTTCACTTGATATTCACATTGTTTCTACATTTTTCTTTAATTCAGTTATTTGAGGTGATCGAGCTGATTGTTGATGTGAAGCGGTGCCTGCAGACGACTGTTATAATCTCCTGGGGTACGCATCCATTGTCGTTTTTCCTTGCTCATTACACCCAACTTTTCCACTATTCATCAATTGTGTCTGTAAATGTTAATTCTCAGGGTTTCTCAAATTTCCAATGCCTCCGAAATTACAAAAGCTTGCTACAAACTATAGCTTAAAAATTAAGGCCTATTTTCATTTGTTGTGATTGTATTTATGAGTATTCTTTAAAATACAAAAAAGTATGGTATTTTAGTCGCTAAATTTTTGTTGCTGGTTTTATCTGTCTCACGTGGTCATCTAGAGAAAAATCCTTATCCAGAATCAAAGAAGTTTTTCACGAAGATTGCTGTTGCTTACGAGGTAAATTCGCCATTTTTTTTTTTTTTGTTCCAAGTGGATTTTGATTTCATTGAGAAATCTGTCTAGCTGACTTTTCTGTAATTAGATCTCTTTTGTGTATGGTCGGTTTTATGGTACCATTTTTAGTTGAAGTGTGTTTCAGTGTGTTGCTCGTGCATTTGAAGCTATTATGATTGAGCAAATTGAGGTTTCAGTTAATTCATTTGAGCCTTGATTATGTCAAGTCTTTGTCATGGACTGGAGATGCACTTTCAAAAGAGTAAAATAGTCGATATAATATGTGATTTGGTTGGATTTCATAAATTTTAGTACTTTTCTTGTTATATTGTTATTCCATGGCATTGGATTTTAAATTGTCAAAAGATATATTTTGTTGCCACCGACTGACTTCTTATTAAAAAATATTCAGATTTTGAAAGATGAAGCCACAAGGGAGCAGTACAATTAAGCAATTGCACATCCGGAAGAGGTGTGTTAATTGGATGCTCATTTCAATATTATGTGAATACGTGCAAAATTTTTTTTAGGGGATTGTAGTTTTCACCCTTTTATGCTGCCATTATGATTTATGTTTCTTAGCCAAGCAATATTTGTTGAGTTGGCAGACTTGATGATGGTAAAGTTTAATAGGAGAAGAAAGGTGATGGTGATGAGAAACTCAAGTAGGCCAATATGGAGGGTTTCGAGGGGAGTAATGACAGCGCTGAGGTGGCTAGTGATGATTTCAAGTCAGATATTAACGACAGAGGTAAAATTTGTTCAAACTCTCAATCATTTGCGTTGAAATTCTCAAAAAAATCGACGCGGGGAGGATGATGGAGAGGATTTTCGATCTGGTCGACTTCCCTAGGCCACATATGCGGCGATTGATCTGGGCGAAGGTGGAGATGTCCAGTGGGAAGCTCGGTTGGGTATGACAATGCTAAATACTTTTTTCTTTAAATTAGGATTTGGGTCTTTCAATTTCATTGATTGTTATGGTTGTCTGGGGTTTAATATATATTGATTTTCTTTGTTGCAATATTTGAAAGAGAAGAAAGATCCTATAATACAAGCAATATGTTGACGGACACAAATCACATGCTTGCCAATGGGAGAATGGATGTTCCACTAAGCCTATGCTTTGCGAATGCACGTGCGGATGACCTTTTGTTGCACTATCTGCTGAGGTGGGGTCGGGAGCTAAACGAGCTATACAGAAACAACAGCACTGCACTGGTCAGGTGCCATTATCAAATGGTCATCCGTGATATATTCTCCCTTGATACCATTTTCTATATATAGATTTCTATTTGTAAATGTTGAGTGTGGGCATGGGTGTGTTATAGTCTGCCTTCTCTCATGCTTGCTCTTTATATCTTCTACAGTTTCTGGTATGGAGGCTCCTACAAAATATGACCAGTTTCTCTATTTTCTTCACCCTTCTATATATTAGTTGTAAGCCCAATGTGCTTCATTATAAATTTGCATAATTGAAGAGCATTTTTTCAGGATCTTGCAGGTTGGTAGTGATCTTTCAGAGGTTGCGGGACATGTTTTACTGAATCATCTTCCAAAGGTACCATGCTACATGCATTATTACGTTAGTATTGTGTTGTGACCGCTTATGAAGACCGGATATTTTATTTGATTATTATCAATAAATTAAATGACATAGACTGATGATTGTTGTTATGCTAACTGGTCGCAGTATACATCTGTATCAATTTTTGTTAAATAAAACACATAATTTACTATCTTTATTGAGCATTTTATTAACCACTAACTTCCTACCAATTGACGAGAAGTTTCTAAACACTAATTTACTGTGTTTATTGAGCATTTGTAAATTATCACTAGAGTAGTTTGTTTTTATTACTTATTATATTAATTTGTGAAGAGTCTGGGTATTTGATCACTGATTACATCAGATATCTTTTTTTTTCCTAATCACTGAGCTCAAAATGTGGTTTACTTGAAAGTGTTTGTGAGAAAATAGTCAATTTGGACAAATTAGTTAGTTATTTCGCGAATGATGAACAACAGCAGTTGCTAAGGCTTCTGCCTTTTGTTGACACTTCAAAAACTATGGATAGGTGAGCATTATTCTTCTGTTGCTGCCGGTGTTGGAAAATCAGAAATCTTTCAACAAAAAGGCCGAGGAAAAATGAGCCGTTAAATAATATGTCGAGCTTTTGATCGATGGCCAGAAATCGACAAAAATCCTCATGAAAGTGGCAAATTTAGACTATTAATGCCTCAACCATAACCGAAGGGAAGTCCCACCATGAGCCAAGTCATCAAGATACTCGAGCCCCTGGTGGCTCACGAGCTGAGGCTGGAGGACCGAATGGTGACGCTTTATGAGGTCCCAAAAAACCTGAATACAACGAGCGGCTGATAAGGCGGGCCCGTCGAGAATAGTATAGGTAATAATAATTAATAGGGGAATGGAAAGAGCAAATTCGAGCCTCCGAAGGAGTGTGACCTTTATTTAGAGGCTTCGCATATCTAGAGATCGATGTCCAATGTGCGGTGAAAATTGCAAACAGAGATTTTGTGTCGATATCTTGAGATGGATGCATATTGACTGTAGTGTTGGTGTTCATTTTTTACGTTTCTTTTGAAGCAACAACTTTGCTTATTTTTGTCCCATGAGATGGATAAGGTGTTTACTGAGGCTTGAGCATGTATATTTTGAGTGAAATAGAGAGTTTTTTAAGCTTTTGCTTTCAATGAATGTGAATTTTGTTCTTGACCTTATTCAACTACTCATGCAGAGCTGGTACTCATAGCAAAAACAAACCAAGAAATGTGAACTAATAAACTGTATATTTCACTAGATTAGAAAACATGACAGTGGGACACAAATGTAATTTATTGATAACCTAATATGATGTTTTTTACCTTCAATTTGCATGGAACTTTCTTGTAATATTAGGACATATCTGCATTGAAATGTACATGTAATGGTCCACACTCGACGCAAATGCATTTGTCCAACTTGAGCTATATTACTATTTGTTGTGTCTTTAATCATTTAAGTTCGTATATTGAGTTTGAGATGGCTTTACTTGAAGACAAAATCAATTTTAATGGCAAAACTATCAAGTTCTTTCAGTAGAACTTGATCCCCAACTTATCTTGTTTACTTCATATGTCTGAATAGTTTTAGTTTAATTCGTAAATTTGCTTATGGACCTGCAGTGATTCTTCAATTGGTGTGAAGCATGATTATTTCAACACCTTCTTCGGCGAAACCGGTTCAGGAAAGCATGTCCCTAGATCTATATTTGTTGATCGTGAACCTACTGTCATAGATGAAGTCAGGATAAGGGATTACCGCTAGCTTTTCCACCCAAGAACAACTCATCTCTGGCAAGGAGGATGTGGTCAACAATTTCGCCACAGAACACCACTGGTTAATATCCGTGTTATTTTTGGAATCAGAGTTTATTCTTTCATAATTGCGAGAAAAAAAAAATTGATTTAGTTTGTTGAGCGTGCGCCTGGGGCACTTTCTTCGGGAAGACCAACGCGCCAAAAACGATGGTTGAGATGTATCCGTCCCGACGAGGTCTGCCGAAGAACAAGTTAGAAAGGCTAACCTTCCCAGCAATATCAGGTGCAGATCCATTGATAATTTTCGTTTGGCCTATTTCTATGGTATTTATCCAGATATAAGTCAGGATGAGCTTTACTCGGGTCGGGTCGTTCAGTTTCAATCCTGACCCACCAACTCTTCTGAGAGCCGCCAGTTTCTCATGGTAAAAAATGACCTTTTAGTCACCGAATTCTCCTTCAAGTAGATGGACAGTGAGAATCCGGTTCTCATCGGGTCTCTGGGCGGGAAATGGCAAGTCGGATCGACGTTGCGGCCATTTGTATTCAGACACATCCTAATAACTTTCTTCTTTAATCTTAAATTTTTCTTTTGTGGATTGGGGAATAAAATATTTTCTCTTCTGGTGTCATATTTCTTCTTTTGGATGAGTTACTCTTAAACCATGCCTGTTTGTGATACCTTTCTTATAATGTGGGTTTCTCTACAAATGAATTGTCTGGTTGCATTTGTTATGCTTGAAATTCTTAAAAAGGTTAAGGTACAAGAAAGGTAGCATTTCTAATGGAGTATTGGCAGAAATTCTATGGTGCCCATATGGGCACCATAGAATTTCTGGGAGTATTGGAGTTTTTAAGGATGTCCACATTGGATTGTTTTTTTAAAGACCTAAATGACTTCATCTCTTTTGTGCTCTATCAATTACAAAAAATGACAAAAAAATCCATACTTTACTTTTTAAAGATAGTATGGTCATTTAACAATTCTTTCTTTAGTCCATGAGTCTTCCGGTCAACAAGGCCGTCAAAGATTACAATTTTTAACAAAGTTGCAATATTTTAAACCACAAAATTCTTCATTAATTGTTGGGGATTCAAATCTAAGGAAAATAATTAGATAATTCATAATGCAAAAATATTTTTTTGGATACATTGTCACCAAAAAAAACTTGAATCATTAGTTTTTCTTCAAATATTAAATGGTTCGGAATTGTTCATATTCATTTGCGGGCATAGATTGGGATACTGTGGTATTATATTGGTTCATGGTTAAAAATATAACCGTAGTTTAGTGACAAAGCTAATAGAAATATGAAAATTTACTCATAATTTCTCTAAACAAACAATTATACGTACATTATAGATTAAATTTGAGGCGACTGTGTGTACACCACCGTCACACCCGTCGCTTCGCTTCGTTTGTAGAGTTCAATTGACGACCTTTGGCCGGAGAGGAATTTAGATTCTATTGATCCCGGTGATCCAGTCCCATAGAAGAAATTCGAATGCAATATGATTTTCTTAACAATCAGTGTCAAAATTGGAGATGAATTCGACTGATCATTGCAAGACATGACAAATTTTCACTATGTTCTTAGACTAGATTTTAGTCCGCCGTGCGTGCACGGCGTGAGACTACTAGTATATATATATATATATATATATATATAATAAGAGAATTTATTGTGTAGTCCAAATTTATGTCTCAAATTTAGAAGTCAAATAAGTAATTATTCATAACTTATGGGCCAATATTAACTTGGACACAAATGAAATAGTCAATATTTGTAGTTTAATAAATTACTCAACTACTTAAATTTTTTTATTTGGATAGTTTATATAAAAGTAATTTTATCGTAATAATATTCATTTTAATTAATGGAACAATATAAGTTTTATAATTATACTTATTGTTCACATAGATTTTTAAATATATGATAACATTTTACCAAAATAGTTATTTCATGTAATCACATTGTAGTCAAATTGAATTTCCGAATAAAAAATTTTAAATGACACTTATTTTGAAATGAATAGAATGTAATTTAGTATCAGGTACGTGCACCGTACGAGTTGTCTACTAAACGAACGCCAAATCGTAAGGTGGAGTTTGGGTATATTAAAGGTGATGTCACTTTGTTCTTGTAATCACTCACACAAATGTTAAGATATCTCCCTATGGTCAGTTAAATATCACATGCAAATAAAGTGTCCCTAGAAATCCACTTAAAATTTTCGAACTGATCACACCCTAATATATATAAATAGAGGAGCCAATCCGACGACATTTTCGTCCAAAACAAATATCATCATTACAATTTTGTTTTTTTTTTTTCGGAGAATAGATATGGCCTTCAAAGTAAATGGTTTTCTTGCCATTTTATTAGCTATGGGTCTCTTCATATCATCAGACGTAACAGCGAGAGAACTAACTAAAAATTCGAATCATTTCATCTTTGGTAAGCTTCTATCCTACAGATGAAAGTTTTACTCTTTTGATCACAATTCATGGCGTACCTTTTCAACTGAAAGTAGTGTTAAATGATATTCGGAAGATTAAAATCATAAGCAATTGAAAATCCGAGTGAATGTAATGAAGCGATCATAGTTTAATTGGTCTAATACATGTGCGTGCACACACATTTTTTGTCTATATATGTGGTGGAATCTTTTATTGCAAACACTCCTCTACGTACTCAAGATATGTCTCCATATAACAAAAAGAAAAAATTGTTTTTTGGGTAATAACTCAGGGATTAAGGAAACAAGTTTAACCATTGGACAGCACAAAGGACGAGGAGGAGGATTGCCGCCAGCACGGCCAGCTATTCCCTGTGAAGGACCCAACTGCTGTGGGCCCAACAGACCAGACTTGAAGTGCAGCCATTGCTGTTATTAGCCACCGATCGAGAAGCTGCCTCAATATATGAATAATTGCAGCATATATAGAATAGAATAGAATGTGTGCCTGAATAAAACCTATCATTAGTAAAGATTGCAAGGTGTGTAACTAAGCAGCTTCATCTGGGGTGAAGTGAAATAAAACCATGTTTTCTATCATCTATTGCTTCCAAATCAAATGTAGCTCCCCTTTTCATCCCTATTATTCAAAATTTGCTAATCTACCGCATAGTTTAATCAAATAGGAAAGGGGTTACTGTGTTTCAAAATTTGAAATAAGTCTTGTATGAAAACATTCGAAAGTCGACCATGTCAACATTGTTGGGTTCGCTATGCCGTATAGGGTGAAACTCGGCGAAAATTAAATGAAATAAACAAGTATTTATTTAATAAATACTAAACTCATCGACTCACGTAGCGACTGTAACGATAAGGGGGCATATCCACAAATTTATTTTGAGGGGGCTATATATTTTTAATAATCATAGATTTGATTTAATGTACACAAAAAAGAGAAAGTTGTATTATAAAATTATATATAATAATAGTGTAATATAAATATAAAGTTTCGGAACTTGACAGTAACAAATTTAGATTGAACGCTCTCTCATCTCACAAATTTCATTAATGATTGTCTTTTTTTTTTCCCGGAACGATAGATAATATTGTAAATTAAAATGCACAAATGTACGAATACACAACCCCTTGCTGAATGGAACAACGAACAGCTGAAAAAGTGGAAGGACATGACAGAAGACCGCCTAGAATCCCGACTCTAGCAAAGCTAGAATAACGACACTCGCAACTATACTAAAACCAACTACACAAACAAAAACAGAAACGACTAAAAAAGATCTCACCAGGATAATACCCAAGTGTCTGATCCCAACAGAATAATAAATTGACATTCGGACTCACAGGGGCCAACGACCTAGACCTAAAATACAAATATAAACACAAGCACAAACATGAACATAACAAGAAGAGAACAACAAAATAACTAAAAAGTTAGCAGCATAGCCCTTCCCCAGTTAACGAACAGACCCAACCAGCAGTGAACGATCGACACAAGAAAGATTCCAAGCCCGAGAAATCACTACCAAAACTGCACAATCGCCTATACAGTAGCCAAAATCGAGCCCCGAACCAATCCCTGAATCGACCCGTCTCCAACCGAGAGAGAACCAACCAGCCCCCACACAAGCCCTCCCGAACCCGTCTAACACCACTAGCCGAGCTCAAGAGAACCAGGTCCCCTGCCGCCTAACACCACTAGCCGAACAGGGGAGGGTGAAGGTGGTTCGGTCCCTCAACCCCGACCGCCACAATTGGAAATACCGCAGCAATCGGAATCCCGCCCCACCCGTTGACTCACGCTCCGCCCAACACTACCACAGAGCTTTGTCGACCAGAGGCCCAGCCTCTACCAAAAGAGGCGAAGCCCCGCCGGGAAAGGCAGAGTCCTAGAATCGCAGACAAGGTGAAGGTGGAGGGGCTTACCGTCATAAATCGGAGCTCCACCGTCGACTGAGGGGAAGACCCCAATCGCAAGCCAAACGCCGACCTTGAGAGGCGCCACCGTCGATCGAAACCCCTTCAGCAACCGAGAACCAGGCCACTGATCGTGGACCATCCACAGCAACATCAGAGGCGCGCTTCGTCGGGAGTGGACTGAGCGGTCAAGGACGACCCCTAGCCATGACCAGTGGAGTTTTTGGGGTAATAGAGAGATTTCTGAAATATATTGCTAAGGAAAAATGGCTTAAAGGGTTTCGTTTTGGCTTTTTAGCAATAAGAGGATGTAAAATAAATTTGACTTGAATACCATGAATCAAATGGCTTTTAATTTTGTGAGTTACAAAATTTAACTTGCCTTCGAAATTTGAATGGCATGACTGTGAGGCATTTTGGCCGTTCAACCAAGAGAAATAATGGAAAATTATAACTTATGGTTAGCACTTCAGAAATCACTAGTAATCAACCTATGCATTTGCACAAAGACGAATACTTTAAAAACATAAAAATATATAAAAAAAAATTATAATTTAATTCATGAAAAAATATGAATTAAGAAAATAATTCTTAAAATTGATTTTTATCAAGTAATTGCTATGAAAGAGCCGTTACATCCATTTTCTTTATGCTAATACGCCCGGTCATTTTCATGAGTGTGTGTGACTTAAAATGTGAGTACAATTTTATAACTCTCTTGATTGGTTTATGATCATAATTTATGGCATTCAAGCAAGTTATTTTGTAACTTAAAAATGAAATTGAATGCTGAAAATTTTGGAGGGAGAATAAAATTTAATGCATGAGAATAAAATTTAATGCATGGTAATAAAATTAAATGCTTTGTTGCTCCTCTTTATATATATATAGACATGCGGCTCTTAAGGATCAAATGGCCAAAATGTTGTGACAAGGATTAGGAAAAATTTCGGTTTACAATCTTTATTTGTCTAGGGATGATCACAAAGTCAAAATGTCAAGCTTGAACAACCTTCGCCTAAGCAAAGGTTTACAAGGCGATCGAACTTGGACTTAAAAATTTCAAACGAATTTCAATTGCTGAAGAAAATAATAAAATTGAGATCACGTAAGTAGATGAGGACATCTATTGTATAAATTATTTAGTTTATTAAATCAATAAGATAAGACGAGGACATCTTCAAATAATCTATAAGTTTATTAGAAAATTTACTCGAACAATCAAAATAAAAAACTTGCTGAACAGGCAATTCAGCTTAATGAACAACAGATGAGGCCCGCTCTTTAATGGATGCATTGCATCCATGTTAAAACGGGCATCTCCCATTTAAACGCCCAAAACAAATGTGTAATGCTGGCTGCCCTAAGGGGGTGTATTCATTTGGAATTTCTATAAACCTAATCCTAGTGTATTTGATTAGACTTTCTAAGACTTTTAAAAGTCTTGAGGTATTCATTTGAGATTTTAAAAAGTCTTAGAAAATGTTGAGGTATTTAACTTATTCGATACTAAGATTTGTTAAGACTTATTAAGATTTACTGGGGATTTAAAAAAAAAAAAATTATACAAAATCACACTCTAAATCCGACCTCCAAACTTATGATTTCATAAGATTCCTTCAAAATTTTAAAATCTTATTAAAAAGTCACAAAATATCATTTGAAAAAAATCTCAAAAGTCTTTCAATTTAATAAAAAGTCTAATAAAAGTGTTTCTATGTTGAATATCAAGTGACTAATAGAGATTTAAAAAAAATCAATTGAATATCTTGAAACTTGTAGAAATTTATAGAGAGACTTAAAAGACTCAATTAATATTGTTAATTTTTTAGAAGCTCAAAAAGGTTAAATTAACTACACTAAAATTTCAGAAATTAATAAAAAAAATCTTTAAAAATTGCAATTTAATTATGCCAAATAAGAATCAGTGCATCACATTCAAACTCACATCGGCGACGAGAGTCGCTCAAAAACCGCAATTCCGACCACCATAATCTTTCAGCGTCAGTTCTCTTCAATGGCTGCAGATCTTCACTCTCCACTGCCCAAATCGGCGACGGATTTATTTGGCGACCCTATTGACGATGCCCATCCATTATGGCTGAACCCGTCCAAATTCTCGGAGCCGGAATTCGACCCGGAGTCCTACATCTCGGATCTCCGCACCTTCGTCCCTTTCGACACGCTGCGCTCCGAGCTCAGATCGCATTTGGGCGCTCTCAAACACGAGCTGGTCGAGCTGATCAACCGCGACTATGCCGATTTTGTCAGCCTCAGCACCAAGCTCGTCGATGTAGACTGTGCCGTAGTGCGTATGCGGGCCCCGCTACTCGAGATCAAGGAGAAGATCTTGGCTTTCCGTGGTTCTGTTGATGACTCGCTGGCGGCGCTCCAGATCCGGCTCAAGCAGCGCTCTCAAGCCAACGAGGCTCGCGAAGTGCTGGAATTGTTGCTCGACACATTTCATGTGGTTTCTAAGGTATGGCAAAGAGAATTCATCTACTTGTACATTTTCGTCGTTTATTCAGTGCACAAATTTACAATCTTTTATTTGAATAAATTTGTTAATTTTTGTGTTCTTAGAGCTCCTTGTTGCAACTGCATTTTAATTTTCTCTGCAGTATTAGAGTTACTATGAGAAATCTGAGCCTTAGTTTTGGTACTATGGAGTAAGTGAAATGTATCAGTAAGTTTGAATAATCTGTGTGCATGCTTTTACTTGGAGTGAGTTGTAATCAAATTTAATGACCAAGCCCTTACTTGGATCTCCTTTTCTGATGCTTCAGCGTTGTGAATAGATACTGCTTCTAAGAAAAAAAATGTGCTGAAGATGCAGCGTCAAACAGAATAGTAATCAAATATGGTTAATGAAGGGCGGTGTAGGCATTTCGAAGTATTCTTATTCACATTCTTAGCATTTGAAGTCCTCCACTTTATAGTGGTATGACAAGAACCGCCAACAATTATGATTTCATCAATTCCAAACAACACAAAGACATCTGCTAAAACCATTGAAAACCAAATTTTGAACATTTTAAACTAAAGGTCTGACATAATCCAGGATAAATTCGGTAAATGTGTGGCTTGAAGCTGTTAATTCTTATCTAAAACGCCAACCATGATCAATATGCTCTTTTTCTTGTTAATTTTCCTTCTATGCATGACTCATGATAAGGGTATTTTCTTTATTTCCTATAATCGTTCTTTTAATGATAGCCCCCAATATTTTTTTATTCATCTGTCAATAGATTAAATTTTATCATACCGTTCTGTGCGTTATCAACATAAACCATGATATTGCTATATCAATTATCTGACAAGTATCTGTTATGTTGGTCAGGTTGAAAAATTGATAAAGGAGCTGCCTACTGTTCCAGCTGATTGGCCTAATGGAACCATAAACTTTACTGAAAAGGTTCAACAGAGCAATGGTACTTCCTTTCAACATGCTGAACATGGTACTAACCTGAGGGAGACACAGAGCATGCTTCTGGAGAGAATTGCTAGTGAAATGAACAGGCTGAAGTTTTACATTGCTCATGCACAGGTCTAACTTGTCATCCTGATAAAGAATCCCATAATTAATCATTCACAATATTGAAATATGTATTAACAAAATGCATGGTAAAACTGTTGCATTTGTACCTTTGTTAATGCATTTGTGATGCTTCTCTTTTGTGATTAGTTGCATTTATTTTTATCCCGTTGCATTTTGGGAGCACTTGCTTGGTTTAACTTTAGTAGTGCAAATATCATGGCTCACAACTGTAACTACTAGGCTTTAGATAAATGACCTTTAAACCTCTTGGTGACCTTCAGTTCCATTTCTAAGATTTAGCCTCGTAAATCACATGCATTCATTGTACTGGAATGAGTTGGTAACCTCTTACAAGTTCTTTAAGGTCAAATGCTGGAAAAGTTGAGGCTTGGGGTCTAGAAAAGATTATATTATGATAACTGAGGTAAATAATATCATAAAAATCAGTAACTGCTTATTTGTTTGCAAATTAAAAGTTAAGCTGCTCAACGAAATTATAACTTATATTAAAACTAAAATTATTAAATTTTTTAAAGATAAAATAATATTGAATCAATTACGTGATATAGTCCACACTAAAAAGTAATTGTTGGAATAACAAAAAATAACACTTGAGAAAAAAAATTCAAATAATTGAAAGGAAAAAAAAAAGAGAGAGAAAATGTATCTTCAAAACAAAATGGAGGATGTGAAAAGAAAAAAGAAAATGAAATAATGAACAAGCTTAAAAAAGTGAAAGAAATAAAAAGGAAAGGATACCACAATCAGACGCCGCACCATATTTGGTGATTCACTGTATTCAATCCCAAAATGGTGCCTTAGTTTCAACAAAATGTAGATAGCACCGTGAATAGCGCTCTGTTGGAGTTGCTCTAAGTTTCACACATAGTGTAGGGCGGTTTCTTTTTTCTAGTTACTGCTTCTCTAAGACTAGAAGTGAAAAAGAATTCGGCAGCAACAATATATCATGTGTTGTAAAGTATTGAAGTAATTAAGAAAATAGCAACACTTCCTACTTTTGAGCAATTGTATTTTCAGGACTTTCTTAAAGGTTTCAACAGTGCATGATATTTAGAGGTCATTGCGTCAGTATTTGAGTAGATTATTTAACCGGTGTCCATATGTTTTCCTTATTTATGGTAAAAGTGAAGTGCTAATTAGACAGTCGATTGTGTTCATTTTCATCCTGCATCCTTCCACTCAGAACTAGGATCTTATCTAGATGCATTGGAAAATTCCTATCATTCAACTTCAATAACCTGAAACGGAAGCTTAGGTTTGTGTAAACCTGAGAAATAATGAAGCAGTTTCCAAGTGAACCAACATTATGTCCATGTTTTGTGTTCGCAAACATCTTGTGGGTTTATTACATAAGATATTTCTATACAAGAAGGAATATAAATGGAGTTTCATATAAAATGAGGCTAATTTAGAAGTTGTGTATATGTATGTGTGTATTTATCGGAGGTCTCATCTCGTTTCCATACAAGGATTTGTGCACTCTCTTTGCTGTTCTTCATGATAAGGCAGAGAACAATGAAAGTCAATGACCTCCTGATTCCTGGAAGCTCATTGTTTCCGGTCCACATTATCAACACCAGAAAGTGAAAAGCCATTTACCCTACAAGTGAAAAACCTTGCATGTATCAGTGCAGTCTTTAGTTCTGGAATATTAATTCTGATTCTCTGTTTGATGGCAGTACAGAATATGCCCTTCATAGAAAACATGGTGAAGAGGATTCAGAATGCTAGCTCGTTGCTGGATACAAGTTTGGGACACTGTTTTGAAGATGGACTGGAGCACAGGGATGAAAATGCAATATATAATTGCCTACGTGCATATGCTTCGATTGATAATACCAGTAGTGCCGAGGAAATGTTTCGCTCAAAAGTTGTTGCGCCTTTCGTGCAAAGAGTTATCCCCCATGGCTCATCTAAAGCACTTGGCGGGTCTTCTGGGGATGAGCTGCAGCAAGACTATGAAATGATCAAGCGACACATCGAAGATGATTGTAAATTTTTGCTGGAAATATCATTTACAGGTGTGCTCTAACAACAATAATAAATAATGCCTTATTTTGTTGTCCTTGAGTTATTTTGGTGAAATGTCTTAATTAACAACTAAAATTTTCTTTGTTAAGTGATTTGTCATTCTTTATTTTGTTTCTAGTATCTAAATGCAGAAAGTGGAAAAGTCGATATTAAATCTATGAGTAGTAAAAACAATTGCTTGCTTACATAATTAATTTTCTGTTTGTGTGTTTTGTCTGGTGCTTATGCGCTATGTACTTGTATATTTTTACTGTGCAAAATTTTCTAATTTTGATGTGATGTACATTTATGGAATTTTATGTTATGTAATATGTAATTTGTGCTAATTGTTTTAGTATTTCTATTTGTGCAGAAAATTCAGGTCTGCACGTTTTTAGCTTTCTCACAAATTCTATTCTGAAAGAAGTTTTGTCAGCCATCCAGAAAGGAAAACCGGGGGCCTTCTCTCCTGGAAGGCCCACCGAGTTCCTGAGAAACTATAAAGCTACCCTAGATTTTTTGGATTACATAGAAGGTAAGGAAAAACTGCTTTTACTCTCTATGTGCTCATAATTTATGGTTCCATCCTGCCAGAGTGTTTTCACGTGTTGTTGGTTTCAAGGTTACTGTCCCTCTAGATCTGCAGTTGCTAAATTACGTGAAGAGGCAGTCTATTTAGAGTTTGTAAAGCAATGGAATACTGGGGTGTATTTCTCGTTGAGGTATATAGCAGAATTTATTATGTGTCCTATATTTATGCCTGTGGCTTCCCCAATCTTGGGGAGACAATGAATATAAAGAAGAAAACAAACCTTAACAGTTATTGATTCATTTCCTCAGGTTTCAGGAAATAGCTGGGGCATTGGATTCTGCACTTATGGCTACTTCACTTCAACCGTCCCAGAATTCCTCAAAACAGGATTTTTCCCAAAGATTAGTATTACAGCAAAGTGTTGCTTTTATGGATTGCTTGAGATCATGTTGGAGAGATGATGTTCTTCTTATTGCCTGCTCTGACAAGTTTTTACGCTTATTTTTGCAACTTCTTTCAAGGTCATTTTACTTTTATGTATAGTTTAGTTTCACTTATGATGATTATTTTGTGGTCCAGTTAGTTACACCTACGATGATTACGGTTTCCACCTGAATGAGTATCCTGCTAAATAGAATATCCAACTGCATCTATGACATAGATACTCAAACTGGTTGTCTGCTGGACTGAATGCTCGTAAAGCTGGTAATGCAACTGCCACCTCTGGTTCTGAATGGGCCATTTCTACTGCCCCAGATGATTTCCTCTACGTATGTATCTCATTTATCTATTATTCTCTGATTTTAGCATGGGTTTGTTCATGTCTGCTACCTTATGTAACTAGGACCCATTTGTATTTGAGGACCAACTATTGCTCACTAGTGTCTTTCTGTGTAGTCATTCTTAGGGCCAAAAGAGAAAAAAAAATGCCGGATTACTATTCCCCGGACTTCACTTGCATAATCCCTGCTCACCACAAAAATAAATGCAAAAAAATCAATTTAACTAGAATTTATTTGTTTTCCTCGCAATTTGAGGATCAACTATCTCACTCTTGAGGTAGACCATTCTGTGTAGTCATCTTATGGCCAAAAAGTGAACAAATATTTCGTATTACCATTCCAGGGACTTCACTTGTATAATTGCTGATAACCAAAAATAATAAAGAATAAAGAATCAAACATCTGGCATCTTTTTCGCTTTACAATTGCACCTGAAGAAGGGCGAGGATATATATTTAAATACATACTAAACTTAAGCTTTCTGAAGTCCTCTCTCTCACTAGTCTAAAGTCTACGGTGTAGATTCTTGGGTTTCTCTTAAAACTATTAACTTTTCCTGGTATTGTTTTCATTGTCCAGTCTCCAGAATACAAAAATATAAGTAGTTGATGATGTGCGACAGTTAAATGTATGAATGCTATTATATAGCCAATTGACTTATGATATCCAAAGGATAACAAATGTGAAACCAAATTATCAACCTGTTCTCTCTTTTTCTTTTTGTGTTTCCTCCCATTGCAGATAATTCATGATATAAATTTTCTTGTGGAAGAAATTTGTGGTGATTACCTTGAGCATGTACTTGGGCTTCTCGAGCAGTGTTCCCCTGAAGTACTTGATCTTGTGAAGCAGAGTATTTTGCAGGGCGGAAACTCTCTCAAAGTTATTCAACCCCGTGCAATTAATTCAATTGTAGAATCTCTAGTTGAGAAGTCTCTGGAGGTTTGCTGTCTTCTGAAACATCATCAGATTAGTTTTATCGTAAACTTTAGAAGGATTTTTTGTCGGAGTCCATATACTTATGGAGGTTTTATTTTCATTTTGTAGAACTCAGATGAATAGTTCACTTCATCAGGAATCCATATGCTTACCCGAGTTTATTTTGTGCAGGATTTGCGACAAATGAAAGGAATTACTGCAACATATAGGATGACCAACAAACCTCCTCCTGTTCGGCATTCACTTTATGTATCTGGGGTATTGCGCCACCTAAAGGTGCAGCCATTTCTTCAAATATCTGCATCACTTTTGAAGTTTGGTTTTCAGGTCTACATAACAAATTTGTTATGTGACTTACAGAAGAGGTAATATTTAATTCCCCACTTTATGACAGGGTTTTTTGGAAGGAGAAAGAGCTGCTACATACTTAACGAAGGATGTCAAGCAGGAGCTTATACATGGTGCTGCTTTCGAGATCACACGTCGATATTATGAAATAGCTTCTGAACTCGTCAGTGTGGTATGTTGTGTTCAGAGAGAGCCCTTTTACCCTAGATGATTTAGTAGATTTCAGGATATTTTCGAATCAATATTGCTCAATAATGTCCCATTTGTGGAAACTGATTGCCCTTGTCTTTATGTCGTTCAGTTGCATGTTTTCTGCAAAATCAGTGCAGGATCTATATTCTTTGCTCCAAAATCTAAGATAGGTTCTGCAGTTCTGTGATGAATCAATACACCGAAACAATATGCCATGGACAAAATAAATATTATATTTAATTATTATGTTCTGGGATATTAGGTAAAATGAAATGAGATAGATTTATTAAAACCGATATATCTGACAAATTATGTACGTATGAAATTATGAATATAGGTGTCACAGTGTTCCTTTCACGTGTTTCCCTTAAACCAAAATGAGGAAGGACGACTAATATCTACAACTGTCCCTACATATGTTTATCACTACTCGGTTTATTGACTACCCAACCTTTTTTATCAGGCCCGGAAAACAGAGTCCTCTCTTCAGAAAATTCGTTTAGGTGCACAAAGGCGAGCTGGAGCAAGTTCTGATGTGTCGGACAATAATATATCCGATACCGACAAGATTTGCATGCAGCTGTTTCTTGATATTCAGGTGATAATGACTCATCTTAAGAAATCTCTGGTTCAATACGAAATTATCGAATCTGCTGAGTTTTTTTTTTTACTTAATTTTTTTCAATTTGTCCCATGTGATGTTTAGGAGTATGGGCGTAACCTTAAGTACCTTGGGGTCGATGCTGCTAACATTGCAGAATATCGTTCCTTGTGGCAATGTGTTGCTCCTTCAGACAGGCAAAACACAATAAGCTTTTAGTTAAAAGGTCAGTAACATTTTGCAATGTGGAATAGAAACAAGATGATGATATGCATGTCTTGGAAAGATGCAGCTGGTAATTTGGATGGAAGAGGAGCCATAACTAAAATGGGAGTAGATATACCGAAATTCTTTCTTTTAGTAGCCTTTAGGTTTTCTATCATGTTAGTCCTCATTTACCTTATCTTTTTCCCCATTTTCTCTCTGTGTTGCATTTATATCCCACACACGATGAACGGTACAAACATCAGAAAAGACTTGAAACGGACACTTTTTGCTCTTTTACATTTGTAGTTTGCTATTTGGCTACGCGTTAGGCGACGATATTTTATGGAAGTAGATTTTGAGTTAAAGGATTTAGAAGAAAGCAAAGGATGAAAAATACAACCACCATATGTTATCCAACTGCTAAAGGAGAATTTATTGGCTTGTGTAAAAATTGAGATTTTTTTGTGTTGTTTTGAAATGGTATTTTTATGTACGCTTT